CGAAAATGGCACAATGCACACTCATTTTCCATCACTGTCTCACATACAATCTCACTATTCTGTTGACTTCGTTTTCCCCTTCCGATAACTTTTTGCTTCCGCGCTTGCCCAGCACCGCTGTGCAAAGCTTTGCACGCGCAGTCGCCCGCAACGCATATGTGCTGATTTGGGCATCCCTAATCTACAGCAACTGACGATAGTTGCAATTCGTAATACAAATTTTCTTTCCAGTTGCGTTGCCAGCTGGCAACCGAACCGTGGTTGCGTTGCTATCCGTAATCGACCCATAAAACTTGCAACAAAATATTTCGGAAAAATGTTAATGAAAATAGCTGACGACCAAACAGTTTAAGCTTAAAAATCTGCATAAAAATATTTTTTAAAAATTTTAACTGGATTCGATGAGATTTTTGATGCTGTTTTTTTAACTTTTTTTCAAAGGCTGCATTTCTTTATTCATTCTGAACGTTTGGAATAAACTTTTTTGTTTACTTATTCTTAGGATGTTCCTGATGATATGTTAACGTATATTTCAGATGCATTCTGTTTATTCTGGCTGTGAAATGGGATTATCTGGAATGTATTAAGAAACGCAGACAAAGATTGGTATAAGGAAAACTTTAATAACTGGACCAAACCTGTTCCAACTGGCCTTATGAGGTACTATTGGAAAGGTATTTTCTCATCGTTTTTATTTCTTTGCAAACAAACTCATTCCAAATATGAAAGAGAAATGAACGAGCGTCATTCCAAGTTGAATTAAGATGTGTTGGCATTTGAAAAAAAAAAACCATAAAGAGTGGGAAAATACATTTCCAATACTACCTCATAAGTCTAAATCGGAATAGTTTTGGTCCAGTTATTCAAGTTTTTCTTAAACCAATCTTCGAAAAAAGATAAAAAAAGAGCATCAAAAATCTCATTATTACGAATCCGTTGAAAATGTTTTTAAATATTTGTATGCATTTTTTTTAAGCTTAAACTGTTTTGTCATCTGAGGCGATTTTTTTCGAAATGTTCTTTAAGAAACTACTTTTATTCATAAAAACTCCATTTTTGGAGGTGTTTGCAAATCGGCCCAGCTCACGTAAATCTTAATAGTATTTTTCCGAAATATTTTGGTGGACGTCTTCAAATACCTATAATAAATTTTGTAATTCCGGCGGAAAACCCGCAACTTTTTTTGGTGATGAAGTCTAATGAACATGCATACATACATACATATCAAGTTCTAACCGCTAAAAATATGTAAGCGACATTTTGGCACAATTTTAATTTGATGATCTAGGAACATTCTGCATCAAAAATAAAAGTTTGAAAAAAAAAAATGTCCCTACATATTTTTAGCGGTTAGGGCTTGATATGTGAAAATTACGTGAGTGACGGAAAACTAACTCACGCACGCTCACGCCAGCAAAAATTTCAGTCACGCATGAACACGGAAGTTAACGTGTCACGTACAAAATCACGTTTTTTTGCACACATAAAACATTTCCATGAAGTTTCGTAGGACGCCGTTAAGTAAATGTGCTTCGCTAGAAATATGTACATAATCTGGGTCGTTTATATAACAGAGATTCGACTACTGGGAGCCAGCTAAATTTCACGTTTCAGTTTCAAGATAATAATTACGACTTCTCGCGCTGTCTTTTTCTTTAAATTGATTTATTTAAAATATTTGCAACCATCATTTGCTTAGATACTTAACTTATTTTTAAAATATGTGTAGATTTAAAAGTTCCGATATTTAGTATTACAATATACAGATGATTTACATTCTAGCCCACCGTATTTTTAACTATTATACGTAAAGTGATTTTAATTGGTTTCGTGCTAGTTTAATCCATTTTCTCGTTTTTTTTTTTAATATAATATTTTCCATACAAAAATGATAATTACTCTTACTGGTGTTTAAGCTGATATATTCCGTTAATGCAATATAATGTATTATAATATACAAATACATATACTCGTACGTAAGGCGTGCGTGGTGTTTGATAATCAGTTTTTTGAATGCATCAGATGTTATTTACATATCTAGGTGGCGACATATGTAGATAGAAACAAGAATGCAAACCTAACATTTTTTCGCGGGATTTTAGTGGGCATTATACTATTAGATATCGTGAAGAATAATGGTTTGGTGTATACACATTGGCGTACTGCAATTAATCTCTTATTTTAAATTCTTAATATTTTCTAACAAGTTACAATTCGCAGATGAATGTTTTTAAAAATTGCATTTCAAATTACATTTATCTTATACAAATATAAATATGTATGTACAGCGCTAATCTGCACTAGTTTTTTCGCCATATTTTTAGTACAAAATATGAATAACAAGTTGAAAAAAGTGCTAGGAAACAGAGCAACAACCTTTGCTGTTTCAAGCCACAGACATCTGTAAATGCAGCTGTTAACTCCGCGACGAATAAATTTCTTGATATGCACTTTTTATTTGCTGTGGTGCTCCAAAGAAAAGTTTCCTTATTGGATTTTAAGATATTTTAAACAATCATCATTTTCATATTTGTTTTTTCATGTATAACAGCACTACTGGGGGGTTACTTTGTAATGCGATGCGAAAACAAATGATTCACAGGGGTGATTGCCTATCGCATCGCATTTCTCTGTCGTATGGCATTATAGAGAAGCCACTCTGCAAAGGACTTTCAAGAATGCAGTGTTATGGTCCAACATGAATAATCTGCTACCCTACGACAGTTTCTTTGAATTCAATCAATTTTAATTACAACCCACTATAGCAAATAAACCATACGTGTATAAGCGGATTTTTTTTTGTTGTATACTTGTTTCTCAGAATTTTATCATTTTCAACAATTTGGTCTTCAGTAGGTACGTACATATTTGCTCACTCCTTCATATGTAGATTATTGCACTGCTCATGAAACATTTTAGCCAGAGTTCAGTATATGATACATATGTATAGCGACCATATTTTTTTTAAGTAAACCGAAAATGAATTTTCTGGGTTCCCGAGCGTCGGGGATCGCCAGGCAATGAAGGGAATTAACTAGGAAAATCCCAGTCAAGAATTGATGGAAACAGGCCTTAGCCTCTAGTTTTTATTTGATTGACTCTCCATTAACCTAGTAGTATTTGGTATTATCACCGAACAATGTCTAATAGGAAAACACGGAAAGCATATAGACTTCCGCTCTAATGAATTCTGTCGCAATTACAAGGACCAGGAGGTGGTAGGGAGCTGCAAACACTTTCACTGACACAGACCTCTTCTGGGTGAAACAGGACAACGTAACCTGAGACATATATTTTTCGATCACCTTCTTCACTTCGTTAGGGCAAGGAAGAGTGAAGTAGGCGGGGTAAACCTTCGGCCACGCTAGTGATATCACAATCGGCCTCTACATTCCTTATCAAGAGTAATAGACAAATCTAAACTAACCTATGGCCAATTCCTACCGAGATGTTTGGCCCGTAAAGCAAAATAAGCTTTGTAGAATTTTAGTTTTCTATGTTCTTTAGGACAACTTTCACTTACATATATTCTACGAGATAAATGATAAGGGTGAGCTTGTCAACTTTTTTGTATTCTTGCTCTTTGTGTAAAGAGTAGACCTACCCGGAAGTAATTGTTAAAATAAATTAATATATTACAAATTCAACGGATCAGAAAAAGGTATTTTAAGAGACAGCTTTTAAAATAAAGGACAACAAACGTTTTAAAAAAAATAAACAAAGCAAAAAGGCAGCACCTTGAAAAGGTCATTCCTTTGAAATAAAGTACTGATGGTTCACGTATACATATGCAGCATTTGTTAAACTTTTTATACAGTTTTTGTTAGCAATGGACAAACACCAAAATACGTATGGAATTCTTATAGACTGTGTTTCGCCTTTTCTTTTATTTTTCGCTTTATTCTTGGATTCAGTAGTACACAATGAAATTCTGTAATTGAGATTTCATCAAAACACATCTAATAATTCAAAAACGTTATTTAAGGACTATACAAATAAATTCACTTTTAAAGATATACAAATTATAATTATAAACATTGCGAATGTCCGTACGAAAATTACATTTTTTATAACTTTTTAAGTGTTACATTACATTACATATGTATTTCAACAGTTTGTAATAATTTGAAGATATAAAACAATGAATAAATCTTTACCTATTACATAAATCATAATAAAAAGCACAACACATGTTCATACATACGTACATGTATTACATAGTAATGTCGAAATTAGGTTTTCGCCGTGGTCCTTCTGAATGTCAAAATGATGTGTTTGTTGTAATATGAATTCGCCTTGTTTACAACAAACACATCATTTTGACATTCAGAAGGACTGCGGCGAAAACCTGAATTTGCCAGTAACACCACCTTGTATAAATTCGCCTTGACAATGACGATGGCAAGAACAACGGATATGATCACCATCTGTCATATTAAATCTGCTTAGACCGACAACACAATCAGTAGTACTCAGTAGCTCAGTTATGCAAGACTTAGGGCCAAATTCACAGTGCGTAGTTAACTAAGAATCGGCAGTTAAGTACAGATTTTCAGTACAAAAATCTCCAAGTTTCTATGTATACAATTTTCAAGTCAAATCAATTCTAAGAACCAAATTCACAGTGCGTAGTTAACTAAGTACAAAAATCTGTAGTTAACTAACGATTCTGAGTTAACTACGCACTGTGAATTTGGCCCTTAGAATTGATTTTACTTGAAAATTGTATACATAGAAACTTGGAGAACTATAGATGTTTGATTTCTAAGTAATGTTTCTAAGTGCAAAGAGAACCGTGAGAGAATCATGCTGCCATATCATTTGTACACTTATTTTTAATAAAAATCCGCCAAATATGCCTACAACAATTATTTTTTTTATAAATGCAATTCATATGGATATCGGAAAACAAATTTTGAAATAAAGGCAGAAAATAAAATAACCAAAATCACAATTTGATGCGCTTAAATACATTTATTTCAATTGTAATTTTTATCCAATTTTACCTCAAACAAATTAAACGTTTACAATTTTGCGTGTACAAATACAAATGCTGACGATAAAAAAAGAAAAAGCAATAGATGACACGGAGAGTAATAGTTTCTAAGTTTCTATTTAGGCCAAGTCTAAGTCTTGCATATCCGGGATTTTGAGTGTCTCGCCTTCGAAGTGTAGAAACAGAGCAAAGAGAACGAGCAAAGCGTCAATTATAAACGTGCATTTTTTAATGCATAGCGTCGATTTTAAAATATTTTGATTTCTTCTCTATGCTTGATGATATTTCCTTTGCTATTTAGATGTGATTGACTCAAAACTATAAAAAGATTACAAGATTGTAGAATTTTTTAGAGTTTTACGATAAATATCAGTTTTTTAAATTTCTCGCTTTAATTCTGGAATTATGCAAATTCTATAAAAACAAGTCAATTTTTAACAAAATAAAGAAAATTAAATTATAAGAGCTAAATTTAATTACATTTTTAGATGTTATGTTGCTCTTTCAACGCTTTCCTCGCCGCTGCACTATGTTCTTTGCCTTAGTTGTTGTTTACATGTATGAAGGGTTTGTCTTTTCCAATCGTAAAAATTATATAATTTGCTTCCCTTACATTGTTTTCATTGCATTACACTTATGTTATAGTGATTTTTCTCCCCAAGTACATAGAAACTCCTTTTGGGGGTAACGGTGCACGATAGTGGGCAAATAACAAAACAATAATACACAGGCGTAAGAGGTTTTTTTTTACTTGCTTAGTACTAAATAGTTTTGGCTTTCTCATAACGTTTTCAATAATAAAAGGACAGAAATAAAATTTCAATAATTAACGAAATGTCTAACTTGCTCCAAACAATGCAGCAATATTTAAATATACTTTAAACATCCATAGATGCGGGATAAGAAGGGTAGGGAGGATAAATTTGCATTACATGTGAATCGTTGCAGCTGTGTAACGTGCCTCTCCACGTCGCCATGACCATTGACTTGGGCGGTACTGAAAAATTGATATAAAAAATTTATTATTGACTTAGATATAGAAATATGAATTTAAATGATGTTGTAATGATAGATTAAAAGTTGTAACAAAATAAAACTAAACCAACTTTGACCGGTCGAGTAATTTACAAAACTTTGTTCAAAATTTTACAACTTAAATTTTCATAAAAAACAATTTCGTATGACTGGACAGAAAAATGTTTGACAGCTATTTGTAAGAAATTTGTGTTTTGATAGAAGTTAAAGAAGAAATAATGATTTCATTTTGATTGTCGATGCTTCCGACACGTTAGGAGTATGATTGGATTATTTTGGAACGAATTTCCGTCATTCCTTGACAAAATTACACTGAAGATGGCACAACGCCAAAACAGGTTTGTCTCCAAACTAAAATTGACATGGGATGACGGAAATTCGATAAAAAATATATAAAAAATAATGCACTTAGAAAGAGTATGGTGAAAGAAATCTAAAATTTACGTACATTTTTTATGCTTTGCCCATTATGACTGCATTTTGTCAAACATTTAATTAAAATAACTTGTTTCTTTCATGCCTTGACAAGACTACATATTTTATCCCTAGTAAAACCTAAGCAGCTTTTATAAAGATTCAACAGAAGAAAGCAAAAATAAATAAAAAATGGCGGGAAGAGACATTTTATATACTTATGTATTTCTACTACATTTCTTAGCCGAATTCAATGATTCTTTTCATGTCTGAAATGAAGACCACGTACAGTGCAAACATATTACTTTTCCTGCCTGACGGCACAAGGTAAATTTTTTAAAATACTCGGACTACCAAGCAACCAAGCGAGAAACTTCTTTTGGACATACTCCTTACCAATTTTTTAAATAATTAAAATAGTCATTCAATATGATTAATAAATATCGGAGAATGTGAATAGCCCAGGATTAAGCAAAATTACATTTAATTTAATATGTGATACCTAATTAGTATTAAAATATCCTCTTGGCGTCGCTGTGGTGTAGTGGTTAGCAGTGCGCGCTACCATTCCGTAGGGCCTGATTCAAGCCCGGTTTCCGATCACCATGAAAAAATAGAACACTTGCTGAAGTTTTGTTTTATCCTCAATATTCGTACAACTGTAGGCTCTCAAACATTAAATATGCAACAGCTAAATAAAAATGATTGCACTATTGAGCAGTACACTCGGATGTGTAAAACAAACCATTTCAACTAAACTCTTTAAAACTACAAGTACTGTAAAATATTTTTATATTTATTATTAACCCTAATTGTACTAATTCATTATCATGTTTTACTTCGTTTATTTAAGGCTAGCTTTTCAGTACACCGTTAAATCTAACTGTGGTTCAAACTTAGTTTAAACGCTCGAACTAACTGGTTCAAACTAAGATTAGGCAATCAAATGTCGGTCAGTGGATGATGTAGTACATACATACTAGGGATGCCAAAATATTACGAAAATTGGGATCCCGGGAATTCGGGATATTTTTTAGGTAATCCCGGGATTAAAATTGAGTCATAAATTTTATGAATATGAGTAAAAATTCAATATCTGAAAGCATTTAAACATACCATTAAATAAAACAATTTAAAATTTACGATAAACTGATTGTAAAACTCATATATCGCTAGCTTAGAAAAGTTGCTAACTTCACTTTTAATGAAAAATCATATTTTGATATAGGAGGCTAGATAAATTAAAATTGCATCGTTTCGAAAAGAGTAAAGGTCCTTGTTTTATTTATGTTTTCTCGTTTATATTCAATGAAAGGAAAATTTGCTAAGGTCAAAAAAAGCTCCGAAAATTCGATAAGGCCAAAAAAGTTCGAAATCTTTTAATAAATATCGAATCCCTCCGATTCGTATGGAGTTTTGCTTTGCTTTAAACAGGCAAAATGTTGTATTCAAAGTATTGCGAAATACTTGAAGAAAATGGCTATACGAAGTTTTTTCCTCTCCTGTACAATTTTTAAATTGGGACTTAGCAACTTTGCACTCTACGCTAGCGATATTTATTAAATCAGACAAATTTTAAAATAAAATTTTTTTTAATTGTATTTAAAAAACCATGTGATTGAGGAACGTATACATCACAAATAATAATGAAACTACCAGGTACTTTTGAAAGTGACGATTAATAAAAAAAAACATAAAACAAAAATATACAACAACAATTTCTCTAAACATGTTTATTCTACTCTATAAAGAAATGGCGAATGGAGAATTTTTTGCCATTTTTTTCGCAATTTACTGGAAATTTTGAGGGTGTACGAGTCAAACGGATCTCAGAATCGGATTCAGCGGGTCGAAATACATGTTTGTAGTTGGGTCTGGTTAAAAACACACACCCCTTTTCAACATATAACGTGTATATAAATTTAAAAATCACCGCAATTTAACATTTTTAGAGTTTTGATGGTTTTTAATTTCTTGAAGTTTCCCCTTTTTAATAACTTGAGTGGAATTCCAAAATTTTCTAAACTTTCAAAACTTTGTGAATTTGAGAAATTTTAGTAAATACCAATAATTCAATATAATGATGAATACTAGATTTCTAGAAGTTTTTTATTTTTTTTAAATTTTGAGAATTTTAGGAATTCTAACAAATTTTTCTAAGTAAAAGTGTCGAATATACGAAATTGATCAAACGAAATTAAAAGTTTTCGAATGTTCAAAACATTTTCCGGGATACCGGGATCCTGGGATTGGCATCCCTAATACATACATATGTATAATGCATGAGACACCAAACAAATTCTTGAAATTCCGTCTACAATTTTTCAGAAGTTTAGGATGAGATCGTATTAAAAAAATAAACAAATAACAGTTTTTCTGGATCTAGTTACAAAACAACTAAACTATGAAGCCGTCTTAAACTAGCACAGAAAAACTGGCCCTTAGCTGAGGATTTGGAAAAACACAATTTAATATGAATACTCTTGGAGTAGAAGTTATCGCATCCAATATATTTTTTAATCCAATATAAGTTTATTTTTTGGATGGGGTGATTGTATAGAGTGCAAAATTACCGGAACCAATTTGCCACTTTACCTTGTATGTATATAACTTTTTTTATAACAGAAACGAAAACTTTTAGCAGTAAAATATTTTTTTTTTTCTTCAAAAATATCGAGCGGACGCGTGGATAGTATGTATTTGAGCTAAAAGTTAAAAACTTCTATGGAAAGATTCAAGAGATATATATCTCGATCCTTAGTTTTTCGCAGGGTAACTTTTTTAAATAAATCCAAAACCTCCGAAAAAAGACAAAATTTCACCTGGAAGCTCTTCGTCTAATCATAGCAAACAATATTCATTCATTCAATCCTACTGCGAAAACATTTATTTTTATATTGCAAAAATTCTTTTGAAAGCTTATAATATTTTTTTTTTATTATTGATGATTCCAAAAGGGTTTACCTCCAATCCAAAATTGACAATGGAGACGGAAAATCAACGAAATCTCTTGCAATCACCTGTCAGGTGCTCAACATGCAACATTAAGGGTGGGATGGTAGAGACCACCTTGCATTCAATTGTGTGTCACTAGCTAGGTTTCTCCACTGTGGCTGCCTTTCTCGATAGCTTGGGGTCAAATCTAACCTTGTTAGGCTCATACACCGCATAATCACCGAATTGCTTCTTCTGCTTTATTGACGCTGTAACCGCTGTAACGATTTTGACCGAGTCCACAACAGCAGGCCAGTCGTTTCTCTTCCGTGTCAACTGACGCCAATTGGAAATGCCAAGTGAAGCCAGTCCTTCTCTACCTGGCCATTCGAACGTGACCCGAGTTGAATATCTTCAGAGCTGGAGCGTTTCTGTCGTGACCTAGCCAGCGGAGCCGCTGGATTATAACTCGCGGCAAATGTCTATATCGTTGTAAAGCGCATACAGATCATCGTTAAATCGTCTGCGGTCTTCGCCATCGCTAACGCGCAAAGGCCCCTAAATCTTTCACAGAATCTTTCTCTCGAAAACTCCAAGAGCCGCTTCGCCAGATGTTTTCATTGCCATGCCTTCGCGCCATACACCACCACCAGCAAAGAGATGATGAGTGACTTATAGAGTGTGTTTTTTGTACGACGAGAGAGGACTTTACTTCTCAATTGTCTACTCAGTCCAAAGTATCATTTGTTAGCAAGAGTGATTCTCCGTTGGATTTCAAGGCAGACATTATTATTGGTATTAATGCTGGTTCCCAAATAAACGAGGTCGTCTACGTTTGCAAACTTGTAACTGTCAACCGTGACGTGGGTTATTTAAACAACGCATTTTTAATAAGGCGGCAACTCTTTAAAAAACCAAAACAGGTCTGTAAGTCAATATTTTTCATCTGACGCCTCATTTGGAAACGCGACAGAACAGTGTAAACTGATGCTCTTCCGAAAAATAAAAACTTATTAGGCGGCAACACTTTTCAAAAAAATAAGACGTTCTTTCTTGCAAATCTTTAGATCAAGCCCATTTACACGGCACCTTATGTAAGTCTTATGATTTTAGAAGCAGGTGGTAACCCTATTCAAAAAACTGAGACCTTCTTGCACATCTACAGGCCCAGCCCTTCTATTTGTCACCTCTTCTATTTTAATACAACGAACGGTGTAAGTCTTATGATTTTAGAAGGAGGTGGTAACCCTACTCAAAAAACTGGGACCTTCTATCACATCTACAGGCCTAGCCCTTTCATTTGGCACCTCTTCTGTTTTAATACAACGAACGGTGTAAGTCTTCTATTTTAGAAGCAGGTGGCAACCCTATTCAAAATACTGAGACCTTCTTGCACATCTACATGCCTAGCCCTTTCATATGGCACCTCTTCTGTTTTAATACAACGAACGGTGCAGATTTTATAATTTTAAAAAAGGTGGCAACCCTATGCCTTGTGGTACATACATCTAGAGGCTAAGCCCTTTAATTTGGCACCTCAGTTTTGAAAATCGAATAATCGGTGCAGATCTGATGCCGTTAACAAAAACTCCTTTCATGTATTGTATGTATACA